CCCCGAATCCTGCAGCGCCTCGCAACTCTGCCCTCTTGGTAACTCTGATCATGCAGTAGTATCTGTTTACATCTCCTTCAACTCCACCCCCTATAAAGAACCTCCTAGCCCAAGAACTTGGTTCTACTATCAACGAGTTGACTGGGACGCGTTCCGTGATTTCCTCCGCGATGTCCCCTGGGATGGAGTCTTTAAGCTCCCCGTCTAAGAATGTGCTTCTGAGGTCTCTTCCTGGGTTAAAGCTGGAATCGACGCTTTCATCCCATCAAGGAAATATAGGGTCAAGTCGCGCTCCTCCCCCTGGTTCTCGGCTGCTTGCTCAGCCGCCATCGCCCATAGGAACCACTACTTCCACCTATTCCGTAGCGACATGTCTGACTGCAATAGACGTCTCTTTGCCTCCGCCTGTAACGAGTGTAAGCGTGTCCTCAACGATGCTAAGTAACTATTTGCGGCTCGGATGAAGAAACGTATTGCATCTCGCAAATTTGGCTCCAAAGATTATTGGCGTCTCTGCAAGAGCGTATTGAACAATTGCAAAATCGAAGTCCTGACCTCCTCTACCGACAAGGCTGAATGCTTTGCTCGGAAATTTTCATTTAACTCGACGCTCGACACTTCCGTTGTACCCATCTTAGAACTGAGGCCATATTGAGTGGGTTAAACATAACCCCATCTTTGGTACTGGGCGTGATCTCCAATTTAGACCCCAACAAGGCTAGTGGTGGAGATGGGATACCAGCCATTGTCTTGAAGAAATGCGCGCCTGAACTGGCGCCCGCCCTTTCTAAACTACACAACTACTGCCTCAAGGAATCTTGTTTTCCTGACTGCTGAAAGTCCTCTTCGATCGTTCTTGTCTTCAAGAACTCCGGCCACCCCTCTGACCCTTCCAACTACCGTCCTATCAGTCTCCTTCCCCTCTTCGGCAAAGTCTTCGAAGCTCTAATCAATACCGGGGTGGTTAACCACCTCACATCCCATAATCTGCTCTCAGAGAAGCAATATGGTTTCCGCTTTGCCCGATCTACAGCTGATGTGCTTACGGCTATCACTGAAACTGTCTACCGAGCTCTTCAAAATAACGGGGAAGCCCGTGCTGTGGCACTAGACATCTCCAAAGCATTTGATAGGGTTTGGCATGCCGGCCGTCTTCGCAAGCTCCAGGGTTATGGCATTACGGGTCGATTATATAACCTAATACAATCATTCCTCTCAAACCGTGAATTGAGGGTCGTTCTCAACGGATTCCCATCCAGTTCCTATCCCACGAACGCAGGTGATCCTCAAGGCTCCATCCTAGGTCCCACTCTATTCCTTATCTACATAAATGACCTGGCGCCATAATTTCGCAAGTTGGCATCTACGCGGATGACACCACAATTTATTCCTGCCTCAAAAACAAATCTAGTCTCACTGACAAAACTCACCTGGCCATGCGTCTCGAAAAGGGCCTCCAATTGATTGTGAACTGGGGCAAGAATTGGCTGGTCAACTTCAACGCTTCTAAGACAAAACTGCTCTCTATTAATCACCATAGAGATCCTTCCCTTCCCTCCATTAGAATGTCTGGCGCTCAACTTCTCGACAGCAACTCTCTGCGGCTTCTCGGTCTCACGTTGACTGCTGACCTGAGATGGAATAAATACATTGAGTCAATTGCTTCGTCCACCGCAAGGAAAGTTGGCTACCTGAGCCGCGCCAGGAATTTTTTCTCTCGGAGTCGATCCTCCAGATCTACAAATCAACAATTCGCCCTTGCATGAAGTATTGCTGCCATATATGTTCTGGCGCCCCTTCTGTTTGCCTCGGGGTTCTTGATAGGCTCCAGAGGCGGATATGCAGTGTGGTTGGCCCTGCCCTGGCGTCTCGTCTACAGTCACTTTCTCACAGACGCGCCGTCGCCTCTCTCTGTCTGTTCTACAAATACTTTCATGGCAATTGCTCCGAGGAACTGCATTCGCTGGTTCCCAGACGTCATGAGTTCAAGCGCCATACGAGGCTGGCATCCCGCTCTCACCCCTTCACTGTCGAAACTCCTAAATATAGCCATCTTTTCTACTCCAACAGCTTCATGTCTCGCGCCTCTCGCCTGTGGAACTCCCTTCTCTATTCCATGTTATATTTTCATATGTTCTATCCCTGATACTAAGCAGTTCAACCCATAAATATAGCATATATATATATTTGTGTCTGTGTGTGTATTATAAAATATAGTTTTAAGGTATGCTATATTTATGGGTTGAAGTGCTTAGTATCAGGGATAGAACATATGAAAATATAACATGGATGACAGTCTGTTTCATGTTAAAAACAATCATCAGATAACGTGTATAGTGTTTTTGCTCAACTATTTCTATATACAGGTATGTGATGCATTGTGGGTAGTCTATCGAATTATCGATATATATATATATATATATATATATATTGAAATATAAAACACAGAAAAACTGCCAACTAAACAAAACTCTTGACTAAAGTTGGAAATGGCTCTGCT